GATTATTCAACGGGTATGCAGAGATAATAGAATTAGCTCGCAGTTCTTTCAGTATATCTTTAGTTTTGTACTCGAGACGTTTAGTTGGGTCCTTGTTCAGTATCATTAAGATATTTTCTCATTTTCTCTGTGTTATTGGTTTTCTTCATTATAACAAAACTTTTGAATTTATCACCGACTTTTGCAATTAATTTCTCGTTATTTTTCAAATCTCTAATAAAAGATTACTCTTGCCCGTTGTAATTATCATTAGTTGTGTGTATTCGATAGCTTGCGATCTTCTGTCATAGCACGTGACATTACCAATTTAAATCAGTTTTAACTGTTGTGTGTGTTACTGTCGGTTATCAGTTTGTACTTGATGTGAAGCTGTAAGCTGAAACATCGGGTTTCAATAGTTGTTTTTTCAGTGTGATTAGGTTTATTAAACATTGTTTTAATCCTTCAGTCTGCACTGTAAAGTTTAAAAACTGATACGTAGATTTCACGTTGTTGTCCGTTGTCATGGTGAACAGCCTGAACATAAGATACTGTAAAAAGATATATGTGGTTCGTCAGATTTATTCGTGTTTTCTTCGTAAAGTGAAACGAGGGCCTCTACAGGGTTGCCGAATAAACCGTAAGCGTTTTTAATCTTGGAGAAAAATCTCAAATTAATGTAAAGGGAAAGTAGATAATAATGGAAGAGGACTTTAATGGATTAAAGATAATAACGTAGATATAGGGTGTCACTGACTAGTCATTAGTTGTGATGATGTAGATATAGGGTGTCACTGACTAGTCATTAGTCGTGATGACGTAGATATAGGGTGTCACTGACTAGTCATTACTTGCTATGACCCAGTTTCACTGTGTTAGAATGACGTAGGCATAGGGCGTCATTGACAAGTTATTAGTCGTGATAACGTAGATATAGGGTGTCATTGACTAGTTATTAGTCGCAATGACGTAGATATAGGGTGTCATTGACTAGTCATTAGATGTGATAACGTAGATATAGGGCGTCATTGACTAGTCATTAGTCGTGATAACGTAGATATAGGGTGTCACTGACTAGTCATTAGTCGTGATAACGTAAATATAGGGTGTCATTGACTAGTCATTAGTTGCTATGACCCAGTTTCACTGTGTTAGAATGACGTAGGTATAGGGTTTCATTGACTAGTCATTAGTCGTGATAACGTAGATATAGGGTGTCACTGACTAGTCATTAGTTGTGATGACGTAGGTATAGGGTGTCACTGACTAGTCATTACTTGATATGACCCAGTTTCACTGTGTTAGAATGACGTAGGTATAGGGTGTCATTGACTAGTCATTAGTTGCTATGACTCAGTTTCACTGTGTTAGTTACTTACGAACACTTCAACCGCAAGGCTAACTTCATTTCCTATTGTTTGTCATCGACACCAGTATATTTTTAATTAAAATGTTATGGTAAGTTGCAAGTATTGACTCAAGTTTTGTATAGTTTACTTTCAAACCTACAAACATAACTTATTCTATTCCAACGTGTGTTTATTGTAAAGAAGTGTTCAGTTTGGTTAATAACCACGTGAATGTTGTAATTTTATTTTTAAAGTGTAGTTAGTTTTTATCCAGTTAATAAAGATTTACAACTTGAAAGCCCAGTAATAGTATATTCTGAGATATATAACTAATTTTATCAATGTTGGAGAAATTAGTATCGTTTCTTCTGCAGTTACAAACCTTATTATCCCCCCCCCCTCCCAGCTGGACCTGCTATTAGTGTGACGGCTTATAAAACTAAAATTCGGGTTTTGATATCAGCGGTGAGTAGACCTCACATAGCCCATCGTGTAGCTTTGCCTTAACAACAAACAAATACAATTTTAAACTGAGTTTTGTCACATGAGAGTTTAATTCATATTTATTTACTGAGCTAAAGTAAATTTTAATATGAATAAATATAACAAGCAGATAAAATTCGCTGGGAAATTATTTTACGTTCACCATAAATTCAAATATGAATTCATCATTAAAACATTTACAGAGAAAAAGTTGTGTTAACTCTTTGTTTCCAGAATATAATGTCATAACTTAGTAAAATTAGTAAATATGTAAGCTAGTTAACACGCTCCTTTATAGAAAATTAAATTTCAGTTTAGATCCCACCACGTATTTAAAGTTTCTCGATTTAAACATAATTGCACCGGAAGATAGCTTAGATATTTAGACTTGCCGCAAGGGCATCTCATTATACATTGAAATGGAATATTTTACTTGGTTTTATGTTTCGGTAGATGTTAAGTATGTTTTTCGAGCTATCTGCTATGTCTACCGCGGTTAGGTAGATGTTAAGTTTGTTTCTTGAGCTGTCTACTATGTCCACCGCGGCTCGGTAGATGTTAAGTTTGTTTCTTGAGCTGTCTACTATGTCCACCGCGGCTCGGTAGA